CTCCGGTGGTAAGAGCGTGCGGACTCGCGTGGAGAAGATGGAAAGGTTGCTTACCCCTGTTCTTCAAGACGCGTGGTTGACATGCGGGAGTCTCCTACCCTGCTTTCCTCTCTCCCTCTTTCTCAGGGCCTTTGCCAGGTACGGTTGAGCAGTGAGGAGCGAGCTGGAGGCACGTGCCTCCTCCCCGCCATGAGCTGAGGGGAGGACCGGAGGAGCTAGAGCATGGTCCCTGCCGGTGCGCAAGGGAGAGCTTTCTGGTCTCCCGTGGAAGGGCGTGAGTACAAGCGCTGTTGTTGATGCGTGCCTCCGTGTCGTGACAAACGCTGCCTACGGGTAAGTTGTCTCTCTGTCCCGAAGGAGCCGCTGGTCGCTGGACAGCTTCAGGTGTTGTGCAGAGAGAGGTTGAGGTTGGAAGGGACCTCTGGAGACCTCTAATCCGGTCTCCTGCTCCAAGTGGGACTGGCGTCAAAGATGATAGACCAGGTTGCTCAGGGCTTTGTCCAGTTGAGGATTTGTTCTGCCCTCTCTTGATGCTTTGTTTGACGTTGATTGACATCCCTCAGCTCCCAGGCAGACCTCAGGTCCTAAAGGCGAACGTAGCTCAAATCTGACCTAAACCAACCGAAGTGAAACGCTACCTGGGCTTGCATGAGACCAGGTGACGGTAGATGTACGTCAGCGAGACCCAGGTTCACCCCAGAGCTTGAGCAGGTGTTGAAATGAGCTTTTCTGTGAAGAGCAAGCTCAGCTCCTGAGCTCTCGAAAGCCTTTGTGTGACACCAGATGCATCTCAGGGGGCTCCTCTCTGCCGGTTGTTTCACCGTAGGGTTGACATCCATCGGAAGGAGAACGCCGGCGCCGCTGAAAAGCCCATCACCATACATGCCACGCCAGAGGGGTGCTCCGAAGCGTGTCGCATGATCCTTGATATCATGCAGAAGGAGGCTGATGAAACTAAATCGTAAGTACGATATTCAGTGTCCCTGGCTCAGCGGAACAGGCAGGTTTGGTGGAAGGGAGGTAAATTCAGCCACTGGTGGAGAAGAAGCCATCTTCTGTTACCCGCACCCCCTGAGGGAACTGCTGGCATTTGGAGTTTCAGGGTAGAGTCATGGGTCACTTAATAACTTACAACTTAATAACTTCTCCATGCTGTGGTTGACAGTGCCGTAGAGACCAGGTGGGTCCCAAGAGCGTGTAGGAAAACTTGGAGAACAAAACCCCATGAAATACGGATGTGCCATCGGGCTTGGGAAGTCCCTGAGCTTCCATTCCCCAGAAGCTGAGAAGATACAGTGGTGGGAAACAGTGGTGGTTCTCCTTCTTCCACCACGTTGCTACTGGCCTTTGCTGGAGATCGGTTTCCTGGCCAGACAGACCTTTAGATTTTATTTTTTAATCCATTTTAGAGCAGAAGAGATTCCCTTGAAAATCCTAGCACACAACAGTCTGGTGGGGAGGTTGATTGGCAAGGAGGGCCGCAACCTCAAGAAGATCGAGCAGGACACCGGCACGAAGATCACCATCTCCCCGTAAGTCCTGGTGAACACCAAGCCATCCCCCTCCATCCAACACGGTACAGGCAGTGCTGGAGCCAGAAAACAGAGCAGTCGCGTCCTCCCGTGCATGTTCCCCATCCCAGTTGGGTGTTCTCCATCTCAGGTGGACGGTGGCATTGGGCAGGGAGAGGGCGCGTGGTCCCACGTTGTCTGCGGGGGGAACCCTCCTCTTTGATATGTAACCGCGTCTTGGGTTTTGTCTGTGGGCTAGTTTGCAGGATTTAACCATTTATAACCCCGAGCGGACCATCACGGTGAAGGGCAGCACGGAGGCGTGCTCCAATGCCGAAGTGGAGATCATGAAGAAGTTGCGAGAGGCCTACGAGAACGACGTGGTGGCCGTCAATGTAAGCTCCCAGCCCTCCTGCCTGAGATGCCCCTGCTGCAGAGCCAGTTTTGTCTGTGGGCTAGTTTGCAGGATTTAACCATTTATAACCCCGAGCGGACCATCACGGTGAAGGGCAGCACGGAGGCGTGCTCCAATGCCGAAGTGGAGATCATGAAGAAGTTGCGAGAGGCCTACGAGAACGACGTGGTGGCCGTCAATGTAAGCTCCCAGCCCTCCTGCCTGAGATGCCCCTGCTGCAGAGCCACTGCTGAGGTGGCCAGAAGAAAATTGGGGGGGGGTTGTCGATCTGTTACAGCAAGGGTTGGTCCTCACCCATCATGTCCACACTAGGTGATGGGAACCCCAAAAACCCCGCTCTGCCTTTTACACGTTTCTCCGTGTCTTTGCTTTCCCAGCAACAAGCCAACCTGATCCCTGGACTGAACCTCAGTGCTTTGGGCATCTTCTCAACAGGACT